CTCCAAAAGTACAAGGATTAAAATATTTAATTCAACCTTCTTACTTAGGGTTAAAATTTTATGCAAGTTTGACAAGCAATCTTGAAAGATTTAATATACCATTATGGCAACAGCTGCAATAATCTACCATTTGAATTTACACCCTGAACAAAAATGTGTTGATGTATATATATATTTCCCTCTCTAATAACTTCTGTATCATCTGTAGTCACGTTATCTTTTCATATCGTTTATTTGTGCCTTCTCTCTTTTTCTTTCAGTCAATCTTATCAAGTTTGCATATAAATTTTATTAGTCTTTTTTTCAGAATTAACTTCGGCTTTGCTGATCCTTCATTGTAGGTCTGCTTTGTGTTTCTTTCATTTCTGCTTTTATGTTTATTATTTCCTTCCTTTCTTTGATTTATTCTGTTCTTTTTCTAACTTAAATTGTATACCTGACTCATTAATTTTCACACTTTCTTCTTTTACAATTAATATCTTAGACTCGCCATCAGGAATCACGTCTACTTAAAGTACATCTTTTGGAATTTTTGAACCAACTGATGTTCAACTAGTGATAAAATTTCCCAGTTTTTATTTGTGTGAAATCCGCTCTATGTTACCTTCAATCTGAAACGATATTTTAGCTAAGTTTAATAGTTTTTTACCCTCAGCACACTGAAGTTACTATTCTATTGTCTTCTGGCTTTCATTTTTGCTTTAAATAAGTATGCTGTTAGTCTAAGTGCAGAACATTTGAAAGTAATCAGTCTTCTCTCTGGCTATTTTTAAGATCTGTGGTTCATCTCTGATTGCCCGAACATTTAAGTATGGCATATCTAGGTTTAGATTTTTATTTATCCAGCTTAGAATTTATCTGACTTCTCGAATTTGTGTCTTTCTGCAGTATTGAAAATCCTCCATTGTAATCTTCTCAAATATTATTGTTACTTGATTTTTCTTCACCTCTGAAATTCTGCTTAGACAACTGTTAGACCTTCTCACACTCTTTTGGCATTAGTTTGGATACAGGCTAGGCTGCTGTAATAAGAGACCCCAAAGTGGCTTAAACAAAATTCAAGTTTCTCCCCCAACCTCTATCTAACCAAATAGTCTGAATGGACAGTCCAAGGTTGGTTTGGCAGCTTAGCAGTTTCAGGGAGCCGACCTCTTACATCTTCTTGCTCTGTCATCGTAGAGTATTGCCCTCTTCCACATAGTTAAAAATAGCTCACTACCATGTCCACATTCCAGTCCATGGGAAGGACGGAAGGGGCATACCCCTTTCCTCTCATGGGCATGATCTAAAAGTTGCCATCATAAGTTCCACTTGCATCCCAAATTGTTAAAACCTAGTCACACTGTCAAACTCATTATTAGGAAGGCAGTGAAATGGAAGCTTTAGCTGGACAGCAAAGCATCCAACCAATACATTCATTACTTAGAAGGAAAAAGGAAGGTATCAGGGAAAACTAGCAATCTCTGCCACAATTTTCCAAATTTCTTTTCTTCTTTCATATTTTCCACCCTCTCTATTTCAGTTATTTTTCAGATCATCTTCTAGCTCACTAATTCCCTAAGTCTAATGTACTGTTAAACCTGTCCACTGTACTTTAAAATTTTCATTTCTAGAAGTCTCTCCCCACCCCCAAAGCTTTTGGTAATTTTTCATAGTCTCATTTTCTTTCTCATAAGCAGTATAGCAAAATGGTTAAAAGCATGAATTCAGGATACAAGCTGCCTGGCTAAAATCCTGGCTTCACCACTTAAAACCATGGTCAAGTTACTTAACCATTCCGTACTTCAGTTCCGTCACCTGTGAAAGGAGATAATAATAGTCTCTACTTCATAGAGTTGTTATAAGGATTAACTGAATTAACATGTATAAAGTACTCAGAACAGTGCAAAGGTTCATATGAAGTACCACAAAATGCTAGCCATCATAATGTCATTATTATTATATTTTAAAACCTTCTTTATTTTGCTAAATATAATTGATTTTAAATTCTGCATTTAATAATTTTAAAACCTGCAGTCAATGGGAATCCAATTCTGCTGTTGTTTTGGCCATTCCTTGTTTTCAATACCTTTTTTCTTTCTGAGTCATATAATTTTTGACTGTGAGATCATATTTCCTGATACTTTATCTATGGGGATTATTGAAGGCCTTGGTTTAAGATGGGGTCCATCAGAGAAGATACACATTTGCTTCTGCCAAGTGCCTGGAGTTGACTATTGGCCAGCATTAAACTCTATTCTCAGAAACCCTACATAAAGACCAGGTTGTGAATACAAAATATCAGAAAGTAATCCACTTTCAACTCCCTCACTTCAACTCACTGTCAAAATTTGGGATAGGCAAATTTCCTTTCAGTTGGCAGGGGGTGGGGTGGAGGGTGCAGATACTTGGTGGGAAGCCTCCTAATAGACTGAGTTTAATCTCTTATCCTCTGTATCTGGCAAGGCAATGAAATCCTAGGCGCACACTCACTCATCAGTAAATGTTCTCAAGGCAAAAATAAGTCTCTCAGCGCTGATTTCAGCTTTCATTTACTGTTTAGCCTTTGAGTATGTCTTATAAAATGTCAGTTCTTTGATGCATTAAAAAATATTTCTTAGACAGTAAAAAAAAAAAAATAATATTCTTATATTTTTCCTGCCATTGTAGTTGGAAGACTAAAACACTTACTTTATCACTTGACCAAAAATGAGTTACTAACTTCCTCCATGAGAACACATATTTTTCAAATAGTTTCAGTATCCTGAAGCATTTCTAGGTTGTAGCCAATTAAAACCATGCATGTTTGCTTCCTTTGTTATTTATTAAATGTTATAACCAGGTCCTATAATTCCTGTCAAAACTGAAATGTTGAAGGTGAACCTTCCTCATGAGGAACATACACTAAGTAGTGGAGGAATTCACATCGTTCCTACAAAGAGGGTTCTGGCACAACTATATAATTTCAGTTCCAACATTGTTCCTTTAGGTCTGTAGCTGTAAAACGTATCTTTGTTTTTTAAAATTTTATATAATCAACATGCCTATCTCTATGAGTGAGAAGTAATGAATCTATATTTTATGAAAAATTCTTCATATTAAATGAATAGCAACATGTTATCAAGAATATCATCTATAACAAAAGCGTGATTAATTTCATCACAGAGCAATACTTTATATTTTATATCAAAAAAACAAACAAACTAAACCCGTAGCTGTGAAGTCAATTCTGACTCATAGCGACTCTGTATCACTACAGCTTTTTTTAAAGGGTGGGAAAAAGAATCACCTGGGCAGAGAAATCACCACCCCCTCAGACAGATAATCTGTCTACTCCTTTTCTCTTCTACAACCATGACTCTAGTCAAGCAACTCCTAGGACTAGTGAGATAATCTCTTAACTAGTCCACTGTGGCTCACTCTGGTTCCTCCAACCCTACCCCAGATTTGTCCTCCACATTGCAGCCAGAGTGATCTTTTCAAGATATAAATCTTATAACGTCACTGCTCTCCTTAAATGATTACATGGTTTGCTTTTGGTCTTTGGATGAAGATAAAACTCCAAAAGAAGTCCTCCAAGCTCTTAATGATTTCACCCTTATCTACTTATTTCATCTTGTATCATACCCCTACTCGCTGTCTATGCCAGCCATATTGACCATCTTTCAGTTCTTTAAACCTGATATGCTCTCTTCTTCCATAGGACTTTTGCACAAGTTATATACCCTTTGCCTGAAATGCCCTTTCCTTCCTTCGTCACTTAGTTAATGCCTGCTCTCCTCCTCAGATCTCAGCACAAGAGTTAGTTCCATAAGATATCCTTCCCTGAGCCCTTTATGTCAAAATGTTATATACTCTCCAGTAACTAGAGAGTAGACAAGTGTTAACTTTGGTGAAGGGAAAGACAATACACAACACAGAGGAAATCAGCACAACTTGACCAAGGCAAAGAAAGACACTTAGAGGAACACAAAACCCAAACCCACTGCTGTCAAGTCGATTCCAACTCAAAGCGCCCCTCTAGGACAGAGTAGTATGGCCCTATAGGGTTTCCAAGGCCGTAAATCTTTATGGGAGCAGGCTGCCACATCTTTCTCCCATGTAGTGGCTGCTGGGTTCGAACCACCAACCTTTCAGTTAGCTGAGCACTTAACTACTGCATCACCAAGGCAGCAGACAAACACAAGAAAAAAAAAAAAAGAGGCAACCACAGTACATACTATAATAAATACAACCCTACACCAACAGTAAAAACAAACGATAACTTACAAGCAGATAACACAGGCAGATACGTATGCGTATGTGAGTATACTCGTACATATATAGGTTAGACTGTGGATATTTTTACATATATATTTGTATGTACAGCATGTATATTCATAAATACATGTTGAAATACATATGTACATACGTACACACATATACACACATACATCCATGTTGAGTGTTGCCACATAAAATCATAAAATAATCTTTAAATGACTGTTTGAGTATCAAAATCAAGTAAATTAAAAACCTAACCTGAGAAGAGATTCATCATTCTGAATTTTTTCTGAAAGACAGCTAGGAAAGTTAACATTTTTGTAAAATCACTCAAATATGACAGGCTGGTCCTTTCTACTAAGAAATTTCAAATCATGAGGTAAACAAGTTGAAAATCTCAAATAACACACTGTTTTGAAAGGACTTCAAAAAAAGACTACAAGAAATTAAATGATTTCCTTTATACTGTTTCACCGTATTTTAAAAGCATTCTCCCTTTACTGATGTTATTGGTTTAATTTAAACTGTCAGTGGTAAAAGTCACATATGACATAGCTACACCACCAGATTGAACCATTTTCTCTTTTCAGAGAAACAAATTATTTAAAAAATAAGTAAAAAGAAATAAACAAACACACTTTCAACATAAAACCTGAAGCTTATTCTCACTAAAAAGATGTTACTTCCTTATATCACATTAAATCTCAAAAGTAAAATGTACTCTTCATATTAAAAAGAGAAAGAGAGAGATCTCCTACCTATACATCAAAGGTCCTCTGATCACAACTTTTCTTCATAACTGTCAAATACTGGAAATGCCTCTAATTATAATAGAAGAGTGGAGAATATCACAGTATCCAAAAATATGCTATACACTGTACCTTCGCGTATATGTGTTCTTAGATGCATGAGCTGTTAAAAAAAAGAGTGAATGCTGTATTCTGTATTAGCAACATTACAAATCATCAAAAAGTACATCACCAGTAAATGGCTGACTAACAGGAAATGGAAAGGGGACTGCTTTTTACATGGATCCTCATGTACTCAGTAAAGAGGATATTCTTCAGCAACTGTTATTCATCATAGGCAAATAAGACATTTGTAAACCATGCAAAAATTTAGAACAGAGTTTCTTTCTAGGTTGACAAACAACAAAAAGAATTTTCCCTAAAGCATGCATTTCACCAGGTTTACTAAATTATGATAAGTATAGCTAAGTGTTTCAATTCTGGAATCCAAAAGATACTTTTCTATAAATGGAGATATTTATTCTAGCTTTATTCCTTAAATGTGTATACTATAAACCCTAACCAACAAAACAATTAACAGTGCTGCCATTTAAACCATATATTCATAATATTAAAATTCAAGACTAACACAAAAGCAAGCCACAATAATGAAAAAGTATGAATTTAGAATAATTTCTAAAGTGAAAAGAAGGTCACCAAATTTCTGAAATTTTCAGTCTTTAAAAACTGCTTCACAGAGGTGGGGCCAAGAAGGTGGAGTCGTCAGATGCTTCCTGTGCTCTCTCTTACAACACAGACCCAAAAAAACAAGTGAATTGATCATATTTGACAATCTAGGAGCCCGTAATATCAAAGGCAAAGTCAAGGAATCAGACTGAGTGGCAGGGGGAGGTAGAGTGATTTGGAAGAAGCAAGGAGCTGCCAGACCTGACCCGGCAAGAGTCAGTACCCTTCAGGCCAGATCAGCCGGTGTATGCAGTGAGGCAAGCAGTGGCACTCAGTAGGCATTTTCCACGTCGGGAGAGACCGAGTAGCAGAGAGTCTACTCGGGCCTCCAGAACCAGTGAAAAGTGGCGCTCAATCAGCAAAAGATAAGTATATGCATCTGATCTACTGTGTGGATCAAAAAACACCCCCTTTGGGAAAAACCTCTCTCCCATTTACCTGCCCCCTCCCCGCTCTATACCGGGTTGAGTCTGGCTTCAGCAATTGCTGAGTCCCCTGTGCCAGAAGTAGGACCCTTCACATACCCTGAGCCATTCTCCTGGTCTTGAAGAGGGAACAAATTAACAAACAGGAGAAAATAATCTGCCAGCTCCCCTAAGCCAGGAACTCATGGTAGGCACAGCTCCTTTGCAAAAGCACAGGCATAAGGGGTCCATGGACTTTGAATGCCTTTCACCTCTGCACAGACCTGTGCAGGCCTATTTCAACAGCATAGGCCCTCAGTGCCACAGTACAACAGGGTACATATCTGAAGCCTAATTTCAACTGTATCAGCTATATGGTGAAGTGGCAGGTTTGTTACATTTGACACTGCTCTGCACATTAAGCAGGGTCCTCATCTACCCACATCAGGGGCCTGAGGACTGGTGGCTCCACCCATGCCACCTAGCCACCCGTGACAGAGGTCCAAGAATAAGTGGTGCCTCCCAGTCCTTACAGCCAACAGCACTGGGTGCCCATAGTCCAGCTGTAAAACCCACTCACCTACACGCTGTAGGGTACAGGGACATGTTTTCCTCCAAGACACTCAGGGGCAGCCTTCAGCCCCTTGTCTTGCTCAGCGTGTGGCCCCCTACCGCAGTCAGATAACTGTGCCTACGCCAATCACCCCTGCCTAAGACTGTACGTGAAAGCTTGAACCACACACTTGGTGACTGACTACCTGGACACCTGAGCTGAACCCATATAAGAAAAGTAAACAAACTCCTGGGCTTACATACCCAGTAACAGATCTAACCAACTGATGACAGGATGTTAGAGCTTCAAAGTCGTCAATAATCAAATTAGCACACACGAGCAGCCTATTTGGGCTTATCAAAACCAAACAAGAAGCTAGGACACAGTAAGCAAACATGAAATAAATAAATAACTTATTGATGGTTCGGAGACAACAGTTAATATCAAATCACACAAAGAGGCATACCATGATGGCTTCAGCAAGCTCCCAAAACAAAGAATCAAGACATTTCCGGAGGAAGAGAACTTCTTGGAATTACTGGAGGTAAACTACAAAATATACAGAACTCTTCAAGGGATCAGGAAGGAGATCAGCCAAAATACAGAAAAGCCAAGGAACACACAAACAAAGCAACAGAGGAACAAAAGATTAGAGAAGAGCATGATGACAAACTTAACAGGCTGCAAGAATCCACAGAGAGAAAGCAATCAGAAATCCAGGAGATTAACAATAAAATGTCAGAATTAGACGAGAAAGTCATAGGAGCAGAACTGAGGCAATGGAAGTCAGGATTAGTGAGACTGAAGATAAAGCACTTGACACCAACTTATTTGAGGAAAAATGAGATAAAAGAACTCAAAAAAATGAAGAAACCCTAAGAATTATGTGCCACTCTATTAAGAAGAATAACCTATGAGCGACTGGAGTACCAGAACAGGGGGGATAACAGAGAATACAGAGAGAACTGTGGAAGATTTGTTGGCAGAAAACTTCCCTGATATAGTGAAAGATGAGAAGATATCTACCCAAGATGCTCATCGAACCCCACATAAGGTAGATCCCAAAAGAAAGTCACCAAGACATATTATAATCAAACTTGCCAAAACCAAAGATAAAAAGAGAATTTTATGAGTGGCTAGGGATAAATGAAAAGTCATCTACAAAGAAGAGTCAATAAGCTCAGACTACTCAGCAGAAACCATGCAGGCAAGAAGGTAATAGGATGACATATATAAGGCCTTGAAGGAAAAAAATTGCCATGCAAGAATGATATATCCAGCAAAACTGTCTCTCAAATATGATAGTGAAATTACGGCATTTCCAGATAAACAGAAGTTTAGGGAACTTATAAAAACCAAACCAAAATCACTAGAAATACTAAAGGGAGTCCTCCAGTTAGAAAATCAGTAACATCAGATAACATCTCAAGACTAGAACACAGGACAGAGCAACCAGATATCAACCCAGATAGGGAAGTCACAAAAATAAAGCTAAAACACTGAAAACAGGGAAACCGAGATGTCCATATGCAAAAGATGACAACATTAAAACAAGAAAGAGGAGCTAAAAAATGTAGTCATAGATCTTTCACACAGAGAGGAAGTCAAGGCACATGAAGAAATAAAAGAGTGGTTTACACTTAGAAAAATAGGGGTTAATATTAAGGTTATCACAAAGGAAACTAAACAATCCTATACATCAAAATGAAAAACATAAAAGACTCAGCAAATACAAAATCAACAACAATGAAAAAGATGAAAAGAAAATACATAAAGAAAAACTACTAAACACAGAAAATTAAGTGGAACAAAGAAATTGTGAACAACACACAAAAAAGACATCAAAATGACAGCACTAGACTCATACCTATCAATAATTATGCTGAACGTAAATGGACTAAACGCACCAGTAAAGAGACAGAGTGGCAGAATGGATAAAAAAACACAATCCGTCTATATGCTGCTTATAAGAGATGCACCTTAAAGACACAAACTAAAACTCAAAGGATGGAAAAACATACATCAAGCAAACAACACTAAAAAAGAGCAGGAGTGGCAATATTAATCTCTAACAAAATAAACATTAACTTAAAATCCACCACAAAGGATAAGGAAGGACACTATATAACGATTAAGGGTCAATACATCAGAGGATATAACCATAATAAATATTTATGCACCCAATGACAGGGCTCCAAAATACATAAAATAAACTCTAACAGCATTGAAAAGAGAGATAGCTCCACAATAATAGTAGGCGACTTCGACATACCACTTTCAGTGAAGGACAGAACATCCAGAAAGAAGCTCAATGAAGACACGGAAGATCTAAATGCCACAATCAACCAACTTGATCTCACAGATATATATAGAACATGCCATCCAACAGCAGCCAAGTATACTTTCTTTTCCAGCATACATGGAACATTCTCCAGAATAGACCACATAGCAAGCCTTAACTGAATCCAAAGCATCAAAATATTACAAAGCATCTTTTCTGACCATAAAGCCATAGAAGTGGAAATCAACAACACAAAAAGCAAGGAAAACAAATCAAACACATGGAAACTGAACAACACCTTGCTCAAAAACTACTGGGTTATAGAAGAAATTAAGAATGGAATAAAGAAACTCACAGAATCAAATGAGAATGAAAACACATCCTAGTAGAACCTTTGGGACACAGCAAAAGCAGGGCTCAGAGGTCAGTTTATAGCAATAAATGCACACATCCAAAAAGAAGAAAGGGTCAAAATTAAAACATTAACCCTACAACTTGAACAAGTTGAAAGAGCTGTGAAAGAGGCCCTCGGGCACCAAAAAAAAAGGAAATATTAAGAATTAGAGCAGAAATAAATGAAATAGAGAATAGAAAAACAACTGAAAGAGTTAACAAGACCAAAAGCTGGTTCTTTAAAAAGATCAACAAAACCAATAAACCACTGGCCAAACTGACAGAAAAAAAACAGGAGAAGAAGCAAATAACTGGAATAAGAAATGAGATGGGTGATATCACAACAGACCCAAAAGAAATTAAAAAAATCGTAACAGAATACTATGAAAAACTGTACTCTAACAAATTTGAAAACCTAGAGGAAATGGACAAATTTCTAGAAACTCACTACTTACCTAAACTAACACAAACAGAAGTAGAATAACTAAATAAACCTGTAACAAAAGAGACTGAAAAGGTAATTAAAAAACTCCCAACATAAAAAAGCCCCTGCCCTGAAAGCTTCACTGGAGAGTTCTACCAAACTTTCAGAGAAGAGTTAACACTGCTACTACTAAAGGTATTTCAGAGCATAGAAAAGGATGGAATACTCCCAAACTCATTCTATGAAGCCAGCATAATCTGATACCAAAACCAGGTAAAGACACCACAAAAAAAGCTAATTACAGACCAACATCCCTCATGAACATAGACCCAAAAATCCTCAACAAAACTCTAGCTACTAGAATTCAACAACATATCAAAAAAATAAATCACCATGATCAAGTGGGATTCAAACCAGCTATGCTGGGATGGTTCAACATTAGAAAAACAATCAATGTAATCCATCACATTAATAAAACAAAAGACAAGAACCACATGATCTTATCAATTGATGCAGAAAAGGCATTTGACAAAGTCCAACACCCATTCACATTAAAAAGTCTCAGCAAAAAGAATAGAAGGGGAGTTCCTCAACATAATTAAGGGCATTTACGCAAAGCCAACAGCCAACATCATCCTAAAGGGAGAGACTCTGAAAGCATTACCCTTGAGAACACGAACCAGACAAGGATGCCCTTTATCACCACTCTTATTCAACAGTGTGCTGGATGTCCTCACCAGAGCAATTAGGCTAGAGAAAGAAATAAAGGGCATCCAAATTGATAAGAAAGAAGTAAAAATATCTCTATTTGCAGATGATATGATCTTATACAGAGAAAACCCCAAAGAATCCACAAGAAAACTACTGGAACTAATAATAGAAGATTTTAGCAAAGTATCAGGATACAAGACAAATATATAAAAATCAGATGGATTCCTCTACACCAACAAAGAGAACTTCGAAGAGGAAATCACC